TATATATATATATATATATATATATATATATATATATATGTGTGTGTATGTGTGTAATAAAAAATCCAAAAAAATAAATAAATAAAATTAAAAATATATATATTTATTTGTTGTTATATACATAAATAAAATTTTATTTTATTTATTTATTTATTTTTTAACTCTGAGTACAATGACCTATATAATAATAATAATAATAATAATAATAATAATAATAATAATAATAATAATAATAATACAATGTTTACAGTGTTTCATTGTTTTAGTTTTTAACATAATTAGGACCACATGATGTTAAGTATTGGGGGGGATTACTTCAAAATACAATTTACGAATTGCAAACAGGTTACCAGTTGACAACATAAATGGAAGTGAAAGTAAGTTGTATGCTGTACTGTTTTTGCTGCATAAGCTTTGGACTGTTAGGACTGAAACATAAATGCATCATTACATCCAGTTTCAGAGCTGTAGACAGTGTAAATGAGCTTTGCGTCCTCTAAATGCTCCTGGATGATGTTTTCTCCATCAGTGGATCAGGGTTGTTGTTTTCTCACTGTGTGCAGGCGAGCTGTGAATCCCTGAAGACCAAGAAACCCTTGAACCGTTCAGGACTGAAGAAACGACAGAGAAAAGCATCTGCAGCCGGAGACTCAGAGGACGATTCAGCCAACAGCACTTCCAGAAGACAAGCGAAAGAGATCAAAAAGAGGAAAACAGAGGAAAGTCCTTTCACAGCCCCAGTGAAGCAGGAGAAACACAGAGACGACAGTAAAGACCTGGCCTTGTGCAGGTGCTCGATTATTCAGATTTCATAATATATTATTTATAGATAGTCTAGTGTGAGTGGACAATGGATTATAAATGTGGAGTTTTAGATGAAGCACAAGTGAACAGCGACAGAAGTGTCCATAGACTGACACATTCACACACACTGACACACACATTTTCTGTTTCACACTGATAACGTTAGTCCTGTTTTGATCCTGTCACTATGCTGACACACAGGCATGTGTAGCTCCGCCCTCTTTTGAAACAAGAACAATCTCATTTGAATTTAAAGTGACAGTCACCAAAATGGCACAATTTGTATCAAAGCCTAAAAGGGGCGGATTCAGAGAGTTATAAAGCATTATTTGTGTGGTGTTTTCAGCCTGTGTGTATTTTCAGTTGGTGTTTTGTTGTTCTGGCAAAAAAATAAAGCCCAAAACTGCTGATGTTTCAATAAAATAACCAACAGAAGAAAGTTAAACCAGTTTTGAACAAGTAAAGGGTTAATAAATAATGAGTTTTTAGTGAACTATCCCTTTAAGATGTTGTGTGAGGATGTTTTGTGTTTTTGATTACTCTGTTCAGAATATTGTTGGCTGAGCTGGAGGGTCATCAGGAAGCAGGGCCGTTTCTGACACCCGTAAACCCTAAATCTGTCCCGGGATACCGCAAGATCATCAAGAAACCCATGGACTTCTCAACTATCAGAGACAAACTCGCCAGCAGCCAGTGGGTCTCACTTACTAGAATATATAGACTTGTCAGTTATATTATTGGGGGAAACTTTAACATTGCAGGTCTAGAATCAGAAACAATTAATGCAGTCATAAGTTGGCCTGCTCCCATTATTTACAGACTTTTGTTAATGGGTGTTACTTCATTATTATTATTATTATTATTGTTATTATTATTTTTTTTTTGCATTTCATTATTTCCTACAATGCAACTTTTACATTTTGTTCCTTATAAAAACGAAATTTTAAT